TTAAACCCCACAAATTAATCAATTACTCAAAGGGATTGCTGATAATGCCTTCAACCTGCTGGTTTTTAATAATGTCACAAGCATCGACAGGATCCTGACAGAATGCCGCCGTCTAGAACACGCTAAAGCCCGCTGCGTCACCCACGGTATCATGCGCCTGCTGAACACAGCTGCTACTTCCTCTTGCGATGACCCCGTCCGCCAAGTTCCCCGATGAGACAACCTAACCCGCATCATTTGTCGTGAGGTCGAGGCACCTCAACCAGTAAAAACTCCATCTCCAACGCCTGATCCTTCACCGAGCACGATCTCGCTGATACAAGCCGCCGTTTGTCAAGAATTATCGAACGTCTGCCTACACCTCGTTTAACCAGTCTACTCTGCCAAGCCTTTTTATCGTCGTCCGTCCACTCCTAGCTTTGGTTCCAACTACTCTCGACTGCGCAATTTGTCCGAATGACGTATACTGGATGACAAGCCTATATGCTTCAACTGCCGACGCGTCGGTCATATTGCTCACCACTGTCGCAATAATTAGGCTATGGGCCTCCTACTCAGGCCAATAACACTAAGGGCCTCCTACTCAGGCCACTTCTGTCCACCAGTCGTCCTGAGCATTCGACTTTGATTTTCCTATGTTGACCACATCCTCTGATTCTGCCGCACCTCTGACGAGACCTCGCTACGCCCGCTCACCATCCCCTGCTCGCCGTCAATCTCGTTCGCCCCCACAATGGCGTCCCGCCCCTCCGACCTATTCGCAGTGCCCCCGACTGGAAAACTAGGCAGTGCAGCTTCTGGAGGTTGGAGCTGCATTGATGACGACCTTTGCAAGAAATCCTCGTGTAAGATTACCGATCACCCGGAATCTGTTGAACGTTACTTTGGACAATGTACCTGTGCACGCGTTGATCGATACCGGCACGCATGTGTCCATAATGAGTGCTGCTCTTCGTCGCCGCCTAAAGAAAGTTATCACACCCGCCTTAAACCGAGCCGTTCGAGTCGCCGACGCGGGAACTGCCACCATTATTGGCATGTGCTCTGCCCGTGTGACTATTGCAGATAGAAGCACTGCTATTCTTTTCACCATTATAGAAAATTGCCCTGATGATCTAATTCTAGGCATGGATTTTCTAACCGCTCACTCGGCCGTTATAGATTGTTCAGCCGGCTGTCTTGACCTTGAGATGCCTCTACTTTTCTATCCGACCAACGCACCCCAAAGCAGTCTTTGCTGCATTGATTTCGTACGCCTTCCGCCTAACTGTGTTACACACATCGATCTCTTCTCCGCGCCACCTGTACCTGACGGCAATTGCATGGTGGCACCAATTCATGCCGTGATGCTTACGCATGGCGTCGCTGTTCCACACACCATTTTGATAATTGTTGGAAACCGCACATGCCTTCTTATTGTCAATTTTGCCTTCACCGCCCAGATTCTTCCCCAAGGTATCTCCCTGGCCAAAATTACTGCCCTACAAGACCATGCAGTTGAGCCCTTCAGAGTGGATGATTGCTGCACCTCAGACCATGACCCAACCATATCACATTCATCGGGCGTCGACGTTGACCGCATGGTACCATCAGCCCTCGCTCCTGATCAAGCGGAAGCCCCCCGTCACGTCCTGGAGACCTATAATACATTTTCGACTTCGCCAGCATGGCCTTAAGCCGAATGAGTGTTGTTACTCATCGAATCAATACTGGTGAAGCGAGTCCCATTCACCGCCGTCCATATCGTGTTTCCGCATCTGAGCGTACAGTCATACGACAGGAAGTTGAAAAGATGCTTGCCAAAGACATAATCGAGCCCTCATGTAGCCCCTGGGCTTCTCCTGTCGTCCTGATCAGAAAGAAGGATGGAACATGGCGCTTTTGTGTAGATTATCGGCATCTCAACAAAGTTACGAAGAGAGATGTTTACCCGTTGCCTAGAATCGACGAAGCCTTAGACTGCCTTTACGGTGCTTCGTATTTTTCTACTATCGACCTTCGATCTGGCTATTGGCAGATCGCTGTAGACGAGGTGGACCGTGAGAAGACAGCATTCGTCACTCCTGACGGTCTTTATCACTTCAAAGTTATGCCCTTTGGTCTCTGTAATGCGCCGGCCACATACGAAAGAATGATGGCCTCATTGCTCCAAGGGTTTAAATGGTCAACCTGCTTATGTTATTTAGACGACGTTATCGTTTTCTCGCCCTTATTCAACTCCTATCTCGATTGTTTATGGTCGATTCTTGAAGTTTTTCGTCGAGCCGGACTTTAATTGAACTCTTCGAAATGCCACTTCGCTCGTTATCAAATAACCATACTTGGCCACCTCGTCGATGCCGCAGGAGTCCGCCCGAATCCCGAGAAAATTCGCGCCGTCACGGACTTTCCTGTTCTGAAGTCAACAAAGGATGTTCGCAGTTTTGTCGGCTTGTGCTCCTATTTTCAACGCTTTGTTAAGGACTTCGCAATCATCACGCCCACTGATAAACCTCTCTAAGAAGGATGCCCTGTTTTCCTGGGGCACTGATCAAGCCTCATCTTTTTCCCAGCTCACGACCCTCCTTACAACACCGCCGATTTTAGCTCATTTCGATCCATCAGCTTCACCCGAGGTTAGCACTGATGCTAGTGGGCACGGCATAGGAGCAATGCTATTGCAACACCAGCGCGGACATGACCGTGTTATAGCATATGCAAGCCGACTGCTATCTACCGCCGAGCGCAACTATTCAATCACGGAGCGTGAGTGTCACGCTCTTGGTTGGGCAGTCGCCAAGTTTCGCCCATACTTATACGGGCGTCCATTCCGAGTAGTCACCGATCACCACGGGCTCTGCTGGCTGGGCTCACTTAATGATCGCACAAGACGCCTCGCTCGTTGGTCCCTACGTTTACAAGAATACACGTTCACCGTAACGTACAAAACAGGGCGGTTGCATTAAGATGCGGATTGTTTATCATGCTACCCTGTGGAAGAAGCTGCCCATACTGACACCTTTCCAGACCTTCTTTCTGTGACGCAGCTACTCAACTTGGGTTACGAGCAACGCCGGGATGCTTCCCTGCGAACCATCATTGACAAGCTTGAGTCAATGCCTCGCGACGCATCTCTACAAATGTTCCTGGTCGGGATTCTGCATCACCGTAACCTCGATCCATATGGCCATGACTTACACCCCGTCATACCAGCACATCTCCGTATGACTGTCCTCAACCAACTTCATGACGCTCCTGTGGCGGGCCACTTGGGCGTCTCTTGCACATACGACCGTGTACGTCGTTGTTTCTTTTGGCTTGGTCTTGCCCGTTTTGTTCAACGCTACGTCGCCACTTGTGAGCCCTGCCAGCACCGCAAAAAGCCATCCTCCCTACCAGCTGAATTCCTTCAGCCGATCGACATTCCCACTGAACCTTTTTTTCAAGTTAGCCTCGACCTGCTTGGCCCATTCCCGATCTCCAGCTAGGCAACAAATGGATTGCTGTCGCCACTGACTATGTGACACGGTCACTTCACACACGAGCACTTCCGACTGGTTGCGCAACCGGTGTGGCAGACTTTCTGGTATATGATATTATTTTAGTACATGGAGCTCCACGCCAACTTCTCACTGACCGGGGCCGGACCTTCCTATCAGCGGTCGTTGATGAAATCCTGCACTCTTGCTCTGCCAGGCACAAGTTTGCCACTTCGTACTATCCGCAAACGAACGGTCTTACAGAGCGCCTCAACCGCACCGTAACCGACATGCTTTCTAAATACGTAGCGGCCGACCACCAGGACTAGGACGTTCATTTGCCATTTGTGACGTTCGCATATAATTCGTCACGTCACGACACTGCCGGCTGTTCGCTATTCTATCTTCTATACGGTCGAAAATCCGCCCAACCCTTTGAAACCTTGCTGCCCTCGGTCACTGAGTATGCCGGCAAAGCCATCACGCGAGCTGACCACGCATGCCAACTCGCCCGCAGCCGTCTGCAGGCCTCACAGAAGCACCAAATACAGCTAGCTCTACAATTCCCATCTTCGAAACGTGCACTTTTCACCGGGTTCTCTTGTCCTTCTCTGGTCTTCCACTCGGCTTTCTGAAAAACTGCTGTCACGCTACACTGGACTATACCGCGTCATTCGCCAGGTGACTGACGTTACATGCGAGATCGTTTCAGTCGATCCAACGTCATCATCGTCAGCTTCGAGCAACACCATGCACTGAGCGCGACTCAAGCCTTATCACTCTCCTTCTACCGCATCCGAGTAGCTCAAGCACCGAGACGGTGCTCCTACCGCCGGGGGTTATGATACACAACAGCCGGCACAGCCTTGCTGCATGAAAGAGAAAGATGACGTCGCTTGCTGGTTGTTGATGAACTGTCGCCATCTTGTTCGCCGAGCACGGTCCATCGTGTATAATTTAATAAATAAGTTACTCGTAACACTATCGTATTAAAAAAAATCTAGCTTGTGGAAGTTCTGCGGCTCTTGGTAGCCCATGGCATCCTCTACTATCCATAACTCCTCTGGCAGCCTTTCTTCATATGCTTTACAAGTAAAAACTTCCAATTCATGACTTGTGGCTTTAGCGTGCCTTTCAAGAGGTGGGGAAAGAGGCAGGTGAAGGATTCTCAGTTAATTTTATGAAAGAGGTCAGTGGTTTTAAATTTTTTGTATAGCTGTGGAGAACTTTCTCGTCATTCAAAATAATGCTGTCTGAAGTTGTCAATATCATTTGCTTAAGGGGAGTCTCCTTGTGCACTTCCAATACTGCAGAATCGCACAGGCATTTCACATACCTTGCCTTTTCATTGTTCCCGTTCTGGCCATGGTGCCCATTGTAATACGCATCGAAAACAACTGCACAGTTGTTGTGTTATATCCATGACTACCTAATGGTATTTGTTAGTTCACTTCCCTGGCCCTTGTGCCACAAAATCTCGCATACCATTAAGTAAGTTGACTTACGTCTGCGTGGTTTTCTGTGTTCTTTCTCTTTGTGCAGCATGCCACATGGGCAGCCCTTTCCGCCAGGCGCTGCCCCCACCGGGGCACAGGGACCACCGCAACCCGGCCCTCCCCAACAGGGCATGCCCCAGGGCCCCCCTCCACAGCCCGGACAACCACAGCCTCCATATGGTGGCGCCCCGCCCGTGTCACAGGCCTACCCAGGCTACCCACCTCATGCCACCCCCTCCTCCCAAGCTGGCCCCTACCACTCGAATCCCAGCCCAACTCCAAGCAGTGCCGGCAATCCTTATGCCAGGGGAGGCGTCCTCCCCACCGCCTATCCCCGGCCAGCACCAGCAGCTTACCCCCAGGGATACCAGTAACACGAAGCCGATTGATGGCCACAGTCTTTCGCCTCGCTCTCTCTGTTTCTTTTTGTAAGTTGAGCAAAAAGGTGTAGGGGTGTAGAGTTGAGGCGGCCAGCAGAGATTCCCTCTTATACTAATGGAATGGCATGCGAAGGCACGTGCACAGTGGTAGTTCTTTTGACTCCGTGTGCGAATGAACTCGTGGACCACTAGCTTGAAAGATAGGCGCTTCTACCACAAGATCTGTGAGATAACTGCAAATGCAAAATTATGTGTATTAGGATGTGTGTGGCCCAGGATTCTTCAACCGCAGATGGTTATTCTTCACTCTCGCGATTTTGTGCAGAAAATTTCGAATTGCACCAAGATCATTTGACGGAAGATGATGCCAATCGATGCCCTCAGTTTAGGTAGCCAAAGATGGGAGTAGATTCTTCTTCACTCATCTAGTTTTTCTCATTAAGTGCACAAAAGAGAAACTTTACAGATTTCATGACCTAGGTATAACGCTATGCTGAAATGCAGGCAGTTCATTTTTTCGTGTGCGTGTGTAAATTGAAGATCGAGCATTTTAGTGTGGCAAAGATCAAAGGCTTTTTGCTTGGTGCTCTTATATGTATTTGAGTGTATTTGTGAGGTGTACATTACTGTTAGCAAACATTTCAGTGCTTGATTCACTTTACGTATGGAAATGGCATGCTACCTTTGGCAGCGCAATTGCATATAATGTAATCAGTGTGCACATGTTTAATACTTTAGCACCACTCGACTTATTGTCAGGAAGCTGCCTTACCGCGTGACCGTGCTGCCTAAATTGTGTTTATGAAATTAATTGTAGTTTTCACATTCAAAGCAATGATTTGTGCTTAGCTTGTAATGCAATCCAGCTCTTGACTTGGTCTTTCGTAATTAATGTGTTTCTCGCTGAGGTTTCTATGTAGTGCTTGAAGAAAGCTGCAGGAAAAAAACTCACTTTTGTTATGCTGTGGTTTCTTTACATTGTACTCGCTCGTCGCTGGTCATCGCTTTCCCGTTCGAGAGGGAAAAAGCAGGATTTAACGCAACTGTGAGTCGCTTGACTGCTGCGAAATAAAGTTCCATGCGTGCTCAAGAAGCTGGTAACTTTGGATGAAGTTGGCCTGTTTGGTGGAACTACTATTTCAGTGCCTGCTTGTGGGGTTTAATTTTTCGTTACTACTACGAGTTGGTCCGTCATAAATAGTGACATGTGGGACGCTTGGGGAGCAGCTTGGATATATAGCAGTCTTGTTTTCTTGTTTTTTTTTATGTTTTGTTATGTCAGCTTCACGGGATATTGGTAATCTTTTCAGCAAAATTGATGAAATAATATCTAAATGTTGGGCTTTTTAGTTGGACGCAGTGTGCAGGCAGACAGTGGTGTTATCCGGTGACATCACAAGATGGTAACTGAACACACAAGTATATCTTAGCTCACTGCAAGAGGCACACTGCTCGAGTTTCTTTTGCCAGCTGACTTGAATTAACAGCCTGTTCTTGTATCTTGCCTCACTGAAGAGTCTCTCACATTCCTCTCACTTTTATGCTTTGCCTTTTGTATATAATTTGGTTACTGCTAGCTTTGGTCTGTAGGTAACATCAGTGCAACCATCCTTGTCCGAAATGTCCATCAAGTAACATTCGGGCATTCTAGCAAGAATTTGAGGCAACAACCAAGCTGGGGGCTGTAGGATGCTGTGATGACTTCTGTGTGGTGGATTCATTTTTACGCATAATAAACGTAAGCTACTTGAAAAGGCTTGTTGTCTTTGCGTTAACACAGATATGATCAAACATTTTCTGAAAAATGTCGCAGGGAGATTTCTTTATTACTGTGAGCTCTGTACAGTAGTGTGCATGTATTTACCAGACACTTTAGGTACTTACCTAACGGAGGTTAAAGGTCCCCCGAACTAACCAAAGGTCGAAATTCAGTTGTGATTGCGGTTGTGCACAAGTCTACAACAAACAGATAGCCATGACGATTTTTTCAAATGATGCAGTCAGAGCAGGGCTACGTGGGTGTGGTGGTCGAAACACAGCCCTTGCTCGTTTCTTTTTTCGCCCCTCGTACACTCTGTTTGTCTGCTTTTTCTCTATTGGCCGAGTGCTCCTTTTTGAGGTGCAAGCAGAAGCAGCGAGCATATGTACCTGGTAGCAGACTGACAGGTTCCCGCTGCCGATGACAGGACCAGATGTCCTTGCTGGGGTCACTAGTAGAGATGAAACATTTCCGGAAATTTCGAGCAGTCGAAAAAGTCTTTTTCACAATTTTTTTTGAAATTAAAAGAAAGGAAAAGAACGAATTTCCTTTAGTATATGGCAATATTTTATTGCATATGTTATTAGTTTAATGCCAAGTGTCAAAAGGGATAACTTTGATTACAGTCGTTGACGGATTTCTTGGACTTGTTCTATATTTCGGACTTCACAAATGCATCATCATGGTTCCCATTGCACTAATGCATTTTCGCGAACGATTTTTTGGACCAATTTATGTACTAGGGTTCGGTTTTCTGGGCAGAATTGGCCGTTTTGAGCTATGCCGCTCGATTGTGAAAGCCGACATGTTCGATTTTTTGTTGGATTGGTCGAGTTTGGCTTGCAGTGGCTAGTTGTATGGCCTCCAAAATTGAAAGCGCGCATAATCTTCCAGTTTTTGAGGCCATGTTTGATCTTTCTTGGCTAGCAAAACTGCAAAACTTTTCTTTTTCAGTGAGCTTTGTCATGCCAGTAATACGCCAGTAGGTTATCTTATTTTCTTGGCATTTGTTTGTGTGGTTGTCATTGCTCACGTGGTGGTGTTATTGGTGTGCCAAATGTGTTTAAGCCGTCGTGCACATCACATTGCTGCTGCTCAGGGTTGCTCAGTAGCATCCCATAGTCACTGTGCTCCTATTCGATCGCAGCTGTGGCGGTAGCGTTTTGATAGTGGCAAAATCCTGAAGTCGTATGTACTGTGTGTTGTTGGCACAGGTAAAAAGAAGCCCAGACCGTGTTGTTAAATTTCACTAAACAGGCGTGCATCCTTTTGAAATCGGCATCAAGTTTCGTTATGCGCGTTTTCATGGTGCCACCAACTTTGCCGCCCGCAAAAGTCGGCAACAGCGATTGCCAACGCGATTTTTAGCGACGTTACCGGAGCCCAAATAGAACCAGATTTGCTTGTCTTGTTCTATTTCTAGCCAAGAATAGCTTGGTTCTAACCAAGAATAGCTTGGAGTATGGCATTATTGGGGATTTCGTTCAAGCTTTTCGAATCTCAATATACTTCATTTTCACGGCTTGACCATTTTTTGGGGGCTTATTGATTTTTCGGGCTATTTCGTGGTCCTTTTCAGGTCTGAAAAATTGGTCGGCGACTGTATGTAAATAACAGAAATAAAATGCTTTCTTTCTTTTTACAAACGAATACAGCACTTAACAGATCAAGAGCAGGCCAGAAGCATCACCACAAGCTCATTTAGCACTCTGTGGATGGGTGCGGCTTCTTAAAATTGTTACAGCACATAAAAAAAAGAACCCTGAAATGTCTATTTTGTCTTGACTTCAACTATGGAGACACTGATTAAAATGGTAAAAAACTGAAGCCCAAACTTTTAGTCAGAGTCAGAATCACTGGATTCATATGCAGTTTTCTGCATCATGTCAAGATGTCGCATTGGAAAAAACGTAGCTGCTGTTGCAGTGCTTACAGACTGCGCATTCCCGTTTTACCGCCAGCGATCTCTTCAACCGTGAAGGACATCCTCATCGGAAATTAGCCCTACCATTGTAGAATCTTATTGAACACTGCTTTATAAGGAGGCGTCTGCCACAGGTTGCAGAAGTGCACGAAGGAAACTTGCAACTGAACAATGAAGGGTATGAGAACATAAATTGCCCCAACATGATCATACCTAAACAACGAAACTACAGTAAGACAAGTTGAGCTGACTTTGTAATGTCGATAGTGAGTAGTCAGCCTTCATTTGGTGTTTGGTATCATATGCGATGTTGTGGTTTAGCATTCAACGATGGGTGTTGCCTAAGCTTTACTTGGTTTTATTTTTACCCCATGAAAATTTTGACCAATTTTTCCATCTGCGTGAAAAAAGGTTTTCTTGGTTTTTTTAATTTTTTCTGCACTTCGCATCTGCAGTCGCAAGCAATGCTGGGAATACTGGAAATGCTGAGAGAGTAGTATGTAATTGTTTTTTAATGCTCTTATTTTCCCGTGGCCTATAGTCCTGCAAACTTGATGAATGTGTTTACGTGCAATGTCCAAAAAAAAATGTTGGATATGGTTTGGGGCCTGTTCAAGTTGTGTGAACGTGCTCTGAATAGCGTGCACACATGAGCAAAGAAAGGAAAAGAACTCATTGGAGGCTGTTGCTGTTATGGCTCTCTCTGCGATGCCACATTAAATTTTTCGTGACTCCTTAATCATTTAACTTTGTTGCCGCACTTTATCAAGTTGATCACCTGTGATCGATGCCTTGAATTGCAGATTTTGGCATATTACATAGTGATTTTCGACAAACCTTGCAAAAACTGATGTGTGTGTGTTCTTGGGAAACTGGGCACGGCTGCCACATCCGAGAGAAATATCTGGCACTTACAGTAATGCTTCAAGAACATCGAAATTCTGTAATTCAACGAACCCTTGCTAGTCAAATATCAAAATATTGTGTCAGCTTCACAATTCGTCAGTGTTGGCGATAATAAATGCCCCAAACTTACGCCTGCTAATCCCTAGCCCTTGTTTGGAGTCGGCAAAGATTTGATTCTACTACAACATATTTGCTAAAGTGCACTATATGTATAATGCGTGGAGGTGGCTTTGCCAGCTCGTTTCCAGTCATTCTGGTTTCAATTCCCTTGCTCAATCCGACAGAGGGGTGCATGTGGTGTCACTCGCCACTCCCATGGCATCGTCACACGTGCGCTGCGACACACTCGTACCGCTCAAACTATTTTGCAACTGCACCTGAATTGAATGACGAGAGCACAAGCTTTGAGTCCTAAGATGACAGCATCTCAGCTTCAAGCTCTGGCAGTAACAGTAACAATGTCTTGAGTAATCTTAAGAGATTTGCAGCCATTTAAGGGTTTGTTTAGTTTACAGCCTCAAGTGGTTTTCTCACTTGTGTGTGGGAAGCTACTGACCTTTGCACCCAATTTGAGAGCTGCTTTTGTTACAGTTCAAATGTCACTCAGGCGCAATTCGCTGGCGCCCGAGTGACGTGCGGAAGCTTCTCTTCATGCCAAGATGGTCACCCGGAGCACATCTCAGCCTAGCACTATAAAGCTGCGCAAAACGTTTCACAACGACTCGCGATTTCATTGTTTCCTTTCGTGGCAGAGGTATTGAATTCCATCTGCGTGAATACAAATAAATATGCTTGTTCGCGAGTCCGCCTGTGTAGCACTAAAGCTAGGAAATGCATCACTGCGTTGCGCGAGCAATGTAGCAGTACCTCGCTTCGTATTTTAGATGCGAAGCAGCTCTTTGACTAACTTGTGTAATGCTGTCCGTCCGTGTCCCCGTGCCAACGCGCCGCGCCGCTTTCCTCCCGCTGCAGTTGTTGGAACCATGCCAAGTAGGTCAAGTCGCAGCTGCGCTCTGACGTCACTCTCCCTCACCTGCAGGAGCTGCCGGCTCCTTCCAACACACCGTTGTTGTTGTTCCACCTGGTCGCAACACACTTCTCTCTTGCTTCACCCCCTTCCACCACCTTCAATGCTCGACCGCACGTCGAGTGAGTGGAAACAGTCCTTCGGCCCGTTTATCTGCAATGAAATTTAGAAGGAACCCCAAGCTGCTTCCCGTGTCTGCGTTTCTAAAGAACGTTTAATCGAGTAAAGGCTACACCAAGTTTTGCTTCAAACTATTCTTTCAGCATCCGCGTCTGCGCCCGTTTCAACCGGGTCAACGGTGCGCTCAATGGCGTGTGCACCGCTGTTACTTCGCATCCAATCATGGCTCCCTTTGGGGAGGTGTTCTATAATTTTTTTTATTGTGTGCATGTGTACATGGTAATAGCAGCCATGTGTAGAGCATATATTTCTCACAACTTATGAGTATTCTCCAAAATGCATAAGCTGAATTTTTGTTCTGAATCATTTTGTAGCATCGTGTTTTTTATTGCTGTGTTTATGAGCTGGCAAAAAAAATTATGCACTTCCCAATTTTTATACATTGCATAGTATTTTTTCTTGCTCTGCAACTTACCCGCCCACAATGGTATAGGGCTCGGCTGCTGACCCGCAGTTCACGGGATCTAATCCTGGACCCGGCGGCCGCATTTTTGATGCAGGCAGAAATGATTGAAGGGTACAATAAAGAACCCCTGGGGGTCGAAATTTATGGCGCCATCCACTGCGGCGTCTCTGATAATCGTATTGTGGTTTTAAAAGGCTAAGCTCCAACAAATATTATTGTTGCTCTGCAGTTTGTATTCTTGGAAAATATTTCATTATCCATAATTTGGTATGCTGCAATGTGTGCTGGGCTACTTACTCAGCTGGCAAAAAGTTTATTCCCAAGACAAATGAACAAAATTACATTTTATTGTGGTAACAGTAACGCTACCCAAGAACTGTCCGTATATGCATCAAATTTAGGCATCATTATTCCAAGGTATTTGAATGATCTTGGAGCAAACAATGTCATAAGGCCGTGATTTATGGTTCTGTAGCAAGTACTATTATTTGAATTGCAATTAAATGTTTATTTATTGTGAGTTATATCACGTTCTGTTTTTGCTGAAATAGA